TTGGGATTTAGAGAGCAACAAATGACTGAGAAACTGTGTTCATCATGTTTTGTTTTGTTGTTGGTTTTTTTTTTCCTCTGATGGCTGTGGTCTGTAAATCCTGTTAGAAATCTGCACTCTTTGTGTGGCTTCCTGTTAAAGTGTGGTTTCTCAGAAAATGTGTATTTTGTTGGGCAACAGCTCAACCCTACTAAGCGCTGCTTGGTGCTTGTTCATTATCTGTTCACTTGGTAAACTGTGGTAGTACTTTGGTTTATAAATCCTTGATGCTTCCATCTTCCATCTGTCAGCAAAGCACAGTGGTGTAGCTCAGCTGACATGGTTGGCCCCATTGCTTGAGGAGATGTGACTCAGCTTTGGGTGAGGAAGTTGGTGTGCTGACAGTGTACTTCTGGCAGACCCCATGCTGCCATAACTAAGCACTGACTAATACACCCTGTGGTGGAGCCAGTTGTGCTCAGCTGAAAATATATCCCATGGAGCTGGGACCTAGGGAAAGCACTCTCTCTGTAGCATGGATCTATCCTGCTTATAAAATGCTCTTGCTCATGTAGCTCATGGTTTCCTGCAGAGGATGTTGGTTTCTTGGCTATTTTGAATGTTGACCATCTTTAAGAATGGACTGTTTGAGACCTTTGAAGTTTAGTTAGCTCATTGGATTAATGTCTTAGTGAATTTTGTAGGGCTGGTGGAACTGCTTGGACATACAGAATTCTCTTGTAGGGATAGGTTGTCACATGATGTGTCTCATTATCTTTTGTTGTTCCATCATTTCTAGAGAATTTGCCTTGTAGTCCCTGTTGTTTGCATCTTTAGGATTAACTTATTTGTCTGGCACATTTTGGAGCTGATTTTGAAAGCTCTAGACAGGCACAAGAGTCAGGGCCAGCTGGAACAGAGCATATAGGAGGGGCTCTACCAAATTGTCAGTGCCTTGGAAGACAAAAGCTGTCTGGTGCCAAATCTCTCAAATTTATTGTGTTTAGTGTAGCTGTGGCCTCAGCTGGAAAAATCTGTTGCCTTCATGACATCTGTGTGAAAAGAAACACACAGCATGCATCTCTTTCCTTGCACAATGCCTTTGCATCTATGATAAGGTAGATTGTATTCAAGCAAGAAGATAAGTTTCTGGTCATAACTCCTGTCTGTTTGTATCTTTATGCCTCTTAAAAACTGTTACTTCCAACACTCCCTGCTGCCATTGTAGAGGGTCTGATTCTCATTTACCTCCTTTACTAAAAATAACTGAAAGCTAGTCAAGTTCATTCCAGGGAAGAGACCAGTAAGATAAAACAAAATTCTGTAGCTCCTTTGCCGTGGCATAGGAATAGCATGTGTGTGTGTATCTTCCCATCACATGGCATGTGTGTGAGCAGCTCATGGAGGTGTTATCTTGCACGACCTGATGTGGTAAGGAATGCTGGCCTCTTGGTCACATAGTAAGCTTTCTAAATCATGGTGGGCAGCATTGGACACAGGGAGTCCTGCAATACCTTCTCCAGAGGCTGTGCAGAGTTCTAAGTAGAAGTTCTTGGTAATCATTGAGTGAGCCAGTCAAGTCTGTGAGCTCAGTGATTCATGTCTTCAAGGTTACAGATTAGAGAGTTAGTCCTCATGGATGACTTAAGCATGGGACTTGTTTTATTTGGCCAGTCCCTATGTCTTTTGAAAAATACAAACATGCCTGCATATACATAATTTAAAAAAATTATTATGAGGACACTTGGTGTTGACCCTTGTATTTAGATGGCCTAGCATTTCCCATACAAAAATTGTGACCTTTCACTAAGGAGCTCTTAAAACTTCGATTGTTTACGATAGACTGTTGACATTTGGTAGGCGAAGCACCATCGGGGAACAAAGTGCCTTTTTATGTTCCACTAAATTAGATTCAGCTTTGAAGGAGTTATAAACTGTTAAAATGAACTAGTTCTTTTTTCCCTGCTTTCATTCTTCAGGAAAATTCTGGCATGCCTCCAAAAAAAAAGTGCCTTCCAGTGCTGGGACCTGCTGTAACCATTGCAGCAGTGGGGACAAGAGACCTCATGTTAGGAGCTGTGGCAATGGCTGCAGCAGAGCCTTGAAGAGCCCAGCACACGTCCTTCTGCCTCACAGCTCTGCTTTCTTTCAGGGAATTTTGTGGAGCAGGAAACCCCTTCCCAGCAAACCTCCATTCAGAAGTCAGCCCCCATTGTCTCTGCTCTTCTCTCTCAAGGAGGTCCTTCCCTCTTGCCTCTTCAAACACCCACAACTCCCAGGCAGAAAAGAGATTGGGGCAGTTTGCATGGGTGGATGTAGCCCATTGCAGTAGATGTCAAGCCTGTGTTTGCTGCAACCACAGGCTCTTAATTCTGTCATCTAGGAAACGATGTACCTCCGTCATCTCGTAGGCAGGGAGGGCTCTGCCACCTCTTGTGCAGCTGGGTCAGACCTCTCGCGTTCAGTGTCACCGCCGGCGTTGTGTCAGCCACGAGAAGTTAAACGCACAGGACAGGGTTCCCGTTGGTGTGGAAGCCCTGCACAGGGAGCTCAGCCCAGCGGGGCTGGCAGCAGTGCCCGAGGATCCAGGCCCAGCCGGGTGTGCAGAAAGGGGAGGATGGCACGGTGTAATTGTGCACCAGAAGCCGGACAGTTTGTTCTCTTTCAAGATGATTCTAATGAGGTAGAAAATGGTGATTTTTGATGGCTTTTAAGATTCTGAGAACAATTTTGGTTATTTGCATTTATCGAGAGCCTGGCTGTTTCAGTGTGTTTGGCAAGGCTAGGCAGCTGAGCTGATCTGGGACAGATCCTGCTCTTGGGCAGGGTGTGCTGCTTTCTGCTCCCTTTTGCTTCTCCAAGCCATAATGCTCACTGACCCTTCAAGCCACTTCAGCTCAGTAAATTGTCAGAATTTTTGTGTGTTTTCCTTTTCTTGGGCTAGGTTTTCACAGCACTGCTGAGCTGTATTAGTTTATCTGCAGGTGAGAATGAAAACTGAGGCCAGCTCTGGAAGGCTGGTGAGACCAGACAAGGAAGAACAAAGGAGCAGGGACAGCCCTTCAGAAGCCACAAGCTGCTGAATTGGTTTAGCCCCAGTCATGTAAGGATGCTGAGATAGTCTACCAAGAAAGCAATCATGACAATCATGACTGATTCCTTTCATGGCAATACCAAAGCTGTATGCAACAAAGACAACAAAAAGCAATCAACAGTTAATCTCCTTTATTGACAAGCCCACACCAAGCGTGGGATAGAAATAGAAAACGTATTTTAGCTGTGATTGGCAGAGAAGCGGTCAAAGGAGGAACCAGCATGGATCAAGCCTAAGTTGTTGAGATGTTGAGTTTTCAAGGAAGATGCATGTTTACATTAGCATTATTCAAACTTGTGTAATGTAGGATGTTGTGAATTCATTTGTTCTTGGGATGAATAGAGGATCAAGTATTGTTCTTAAACAATAGAACAGTAAAAACAACATCTGTGAACCAAGATCTCCTTTTTAAGAATGGAGAAGGCAAGCAGACAGAAACTATAGCTAAAATTGTTTTAAGTGTTTTGCTTGCTTGCAGACAGTTGTGAAATACTTGTTCAAGGGACTCAGCAACATTTTGTTGCTTTAGATATTCAAAGCCTCTCCTCAGCCATCATGGCTCTTTGCTGTAAATGTTCCAGGTTTTCAAACTTGGCCACAAGCCTTTTGAGAAGGGCACCCACAGAAGCAGTGGCACCCACAGAAGCACCCATTTGACTGTGAATGCAACTGTTAAATTTAAAAAAAAAGGGCAAAAATATTTTAAGAATGCTGGGCAAAGGGGAGAGTGTCCCAGTGCCTGGACCCTGTGCTCATCATCTTTTTTAACTGTGAAACCTTTCTTTATTTTCTTGTTGATCCTTCCTTCATTTGCTATCAAACTTAAATCAAAACCATGTTGATGGAAGCTTTCCTAAATAACGGGATAGGAAAAGCTGATGTAGCATTTGTCTGAGTACTGTATGCATGTGTCTCTAAAATGAAGACTACTCCATATACTCACTCCTAAAAACGACATCTAGACCTGTCTTTCTAGAGAGCAGGCATCCACTTTGGAAACAGGGCATTGACACTTCCGGAGGACAGGGCACTGTGAGCCTCTGTTGAAGTGGTGATACTTTTACTTCTAGGCTACTGTTTTGAGTCTGGCTGCTTCAGTAAAATATTTTTAGTAAGTTCCTAGCAAAGTGAAAGGTGTAATCTATACATGGTTCCACAGAGGTGGCAGATCTCCTTCTGTGCTAAATAGGGAGCTCTTTGGAACCCTTTGATTGCAGAGCTCTCCTTAGGGTCTCCAGGCTGAGGCAGAGGTCAGAATTCTATTACATGTGATAAGCTTGCATAGGTTGTTGGCCACCTACTATATGTCACAGGTTGAAGTTGAATGATCTTTTTCTGAAAAACAAACTGTTGGGAATTTTCCATTTTCATGGTTTCTGAATCTGCCATAAATTCTTTTTTGGAAAATAAAGGAAAGGAAAGAAGCTTCAGTGTTCGAATTCCCTGCAGCTGGTAGTCTTATGTTACTATTCCTTCCAGAGAAACATCACTTTTAAGTTTCTGTTTGTGATAGCCACTTCAGGAGGAAGCTGAAATGTTGAATTACATGTGAGAAATGTTGTTGGATATCTGTGATGAAATCATAGAACCATGTCTTAGGTGAAATAGTAGAATGAGGGAAAGAAGAATTGTTTAGATTAAAGGGGAAAAGATGAGCTTCCTGAAATCTCTAAAATTCGTCTGGAGATTGTTTTTCTTCCTTTAGACTTTTGTGAGAAAAGCTGGAGTTTGTGACCAAGATGATCTGCATGTCTTAACCCAGGAGAATTGGACCATGTCACTGGAATTTTATGCCTTTGCCTGTATGCTAGAAATGGAAATAATCTCATCTACCTTCTTGCACTAAGCCAGCCCCTGCAAAAGGTAGGAAAAATGTATCGCCAAAAATAAATGTTTTTTTTTTTTCTTTTCCCTTGTCTCTCTGCAGCAATTTGGCAAAATCCTTGATGTAGAGATAATCTTTAATGAGCGTGGCTCGAAGGTAAGTCCTGTTTCTGTACCCGCTTCTCTTGTTTTGATTGCAGAGTTAAAGGCAGTTCATTGCCTAGAGAACATATTCTGTAGAGATCAGCAGGAATTAGAGTGATGGGGGAAGGGAAAAGCTATTTTGGGGACTGTCTCCTGTTCCCTCTGACTTGAGACTCTGAGCATGGTCATTTCTGGGCAGCGCGTACAAATGCTCAGAGACGCTTCTGTCTGTGGGATCAGGTTCCCCAGCCTTTAGAACAAACAAGGGACTCAGTCAGCTGAGCCTTCATACCAACCCATTCCCATTGCATTGGCAATGGCTGCCCAGTGAGGAAGGCAGAATAAGGTAAAACAGCTTTGTGTGATGGGAGGCTGTAAGAACAAAAGCTAAACTCACCCCTATCCCTGCCATTTTCATTGCATTAAAACACTTCTGTAGAAAAACTGTCATATCTCATATGTGAAAGGATTTTATATACTCTGTTTTGCAGACTTACTTGGCACTTCTGAGATGCTGACCTTTCATGTTTGAGATATTTGGTGCTTTAATATAAGCATCCTCATTCCACTTGTCCTGCCCCATGTGGACCTCCCCCACAGAATTTGCATTCACACTCCTATTTTCTTCTTACAGATATCTTAAGAGGCAAATTTTGTTGAGGGTTAATGGCAATTTATATCTCTGGAGATGAGGTTTCAAATGTTGCTCAGGTCAGCTGCAGAGAGATTCAGTGATCTCTGTCCTAATTGGCAATTGGTTCTCATCACGTAACCAGTATCACCACAATGACAAATTGCTGTGATTCTCTCTCTGCCCAGGAGGTTCAGCACTGGAATAGCAGGGAGTTTTGCAGGTCAGGAGCGAGGTGCATTGCCAAAGCTCTATGGGGGAAGCTTGCACAGTGCATGTCTATACTATGCTTGACTTAATCAATGCTAAGATTCCCATTTTCAATTAAAACAAAATTTCCCTCCTCCTCACACACACGTGTGTGCACATGTGTGCATGCACACAAAAGGTTTTGAAGTTGCAATTCAGCTAAGCAGTTTTGGTTTAGAGTCTATGCCTTTTGCTTGGATTTGAGGTCCACAGTTTTTATGGTGGGCTCTTTGCTTCAACATATATTCTGGGGTATGTTTACGTTCAGAGCCTTCTGCAAATTTTCACCCATATTGCCCGAGATGCGTTCTGAAATTCTTCAGTCCTGTATTATCTGGAAACCAGAAAGCCATTGATCTGTATACAGAAGACCTGAGTTTTAGTCCTTTCCCCTCATCCTCTGTTTCTACTTAATACCATGGTTTTCTTTTGTTTTGTTTTTTTAACAAGACAATCTGAACAAGTAAATGTCTATATAGTTTAGTTAGTTTTACTTCCCTGCATTGTTAAAAATCTATATGCTTTACCAAAACAATCAGCTGTGCTGACTTTGTAAATATTTATTCTGCTCCCTGCTGTTCTTTTGATATTTATAGGCCAAAGCTACCTGTGAATTACTCTTGATTTTAGTCATTATTGTTTGGTTTTGAGAATAGCCTCTGGCCTCTATCAAATCCCTACTTGTTCAGATATAATTGCAAAAGAAAGAACAAAAATAACTGGCCTGGCAAAATGTTCTTCATATCCCACTGCCTGTGCTTTCCGGAGCAGTGTTTTCCTCTTCACACATGAACTTCACTCTCTCTCTCCCATCCATACAGCCCTGTGTATTAAACGCCCACGGCTGCCCTTTCCCTTCTAGGCAACATTGACATTGAAGGCTTTTCTGTGAAGACTTGATTTATGACTATGAAAAGTACCTTCTTGTGCTGTTGCTAAAGCCCAAGGCTTCTGGTTTTCAGTTAAAACAAAAATAATTGCTGAAGAGTTCCTTGATGAATGTTACCCTGAACCATTAATAAATATTTGGAAAAAAAAAAAAAGAAACAGAAATGTTCTTCTAGTCTTCGTTCACCATGCAGTTTTCCACTGCTTTTTGTCATCTCGCAGCAAAAAGCAGTTATAAAACTGGTAGCCTTTTTTGAGGGATGTCCAGAATCTGAACAGAATGAGAAAACAGCCAAAGAGTTATTTCATGGTATCTGCATCTGTCTCACCCAAAATAATTCTTGTTTTAAAAAAGAATGCAAAATTCTTCCTGCTTAGCATGAAAATGGGAGGCCCCAGTGTTTGAGTGGGGTGTAGCTGCACGAAGCACCTGGTATTCACATAATAATGGAAAAACAACAGTTTGGTGATCTGATGGTGAAGCAAAGGAAATGGATCTTTCTGGAGGCCACTCACTCACTCTTGGGTTCTTTCTACACCTTAGGAAAAAAATCTGAATGCATTTTCCTGCCCTGTGGTTTCCATTCTAATCTAATGATATGAAACCTCTCTCTCTTCTTCTCCTCCTCCTCTCTCTTGGGAATCCGAAAGCAGATGCTCCTGCTGCCTGCCTTGTGCTGTGTTCTCAATGCTCCCTTCCCTTCCCTGGGTTCCTAAGGGTTGTAGTGTTTTGTGTATATGTTTTGTAAATATTTTAAAGGTACAGTGGTAAATCACAAACTGCCCTGGGTTTGCCCCCACCCAGTGTGCAATGGGGTTGAGCAGCACTTTGTCCCTGCCGAGCTCTGGCGGGAGAACTCTACTGGGATAGCTCCAGTGCTGGTCAGTAGGAGGGGCTGGAGGAAGTGTTCAGGTAGCATTCTTCATTTTGAATCCACCTGAGATGACCAGGCAGTTTTCTTCGACAGCCTGGGGAAGATCTATCAAACTGGCTGCATCTTCAGGGTCTCTGTGTCCTTACAGAGTTTGGTGACCAAAGAGAGAGCTGGATGTGTCCATCACAGCCACTTCTCACCTCAGGTTATTTCAGAAATGGTATTTGTTGACTTTCTCTATCACAGCAGCGTAGGAGGCAGTTAATGAGTTTTGCTGATTCTTCTCTCAAAGCAATGTGAATTCTTGTTTTGTAACTCGCTTTCTTCCCAGATTCAGTCTGTTTAGTAGGAGTGTATGGGCCCTGGTAGACCTCACACTGCTACTGCTTCGCTCTGTGTGAGAAACAAGATAAAAACTTTAAACATTCCTTGAATTACATTTTGTTTTCTTCTTGTTTAATAGAATGATGTCAGTCTCCCCTTGATGTATTTGGCTTTTTTTGCTTGCTTCCAGGAAACTAGCTGTTTGTTTCATTTATCCTGTTTACCATTACATTTCTAGCTCTGACTGGTATAAGTGCCTTTAAATAGCATTCTGCCCATGGTTGCAGTTTACCATGCACTTCACTGAACCATGAATAAAACACCTCCAGAGGAAGTCGAGAGGATTCCTGCTCCTTTTGTTAGTGGAGATGCATCCTCTAGAAGCGTATTTTGCCACTATTGTGCTGAATCAAACAAGTGGACATATTTGCAGAATTAATGCAGTCTGCCTCTGTAATGAGTACCCTGTGGCATTTGTAAAACTGCAGGGGAAGGAAATCCAAGCTCTTTGCACACAAGCTGTGTACCGTGTGGCATTCCAAGATGTGCCCTCAATGACATTCAGAGACCAGGAGTACATAAGCACACAGCAAAATCGTGGCTGAATAGGGAGTGGGTTTTGGTGGTTTTTGGGGTTGTTTGTAGCTTTTTAAATGGTAAGAGTTCATATTAGTGCAGAGGAGCTCATGGTTTCAGGGTACTGTAAGTTTTATGTCCCTCACTGATTTTGGGAGACTCAAATCTCCAAGTTCTTGTATAGGACTATAGTGCCTAGAAGTGCTTCATATTTATTTTAAAAATTAGTTGTGTAGTGGGTTATGAGAGAAATTGCATCTGTTGATGTTTGGATTTATGTAAGTAAATCTATGCTAACTAAAAACTTCTGTGGAAGCTGTGTGGATTTTTAAGTTTGCAGTTAACTGTAGGTTAAGATAAGAATGTGACTAGGTTTTGATAATGGTGCCTTAAAGACTGTGAGTTTGCATGTGCATTTATTTCTACTTTAAATGGATTAGGTGCTTTGAGTTGAGGCACTCTTGTTCTGCACCTAGTTTCCACTCAGTGGAAAGCCCCTTATTACATAAAATGAATTAGAAGTCTTGTTTTCTTTTTAATTCATTTTATAATTTTTGTTCAGATTTCATCAGTTGAACCAGAAATATAAATAATGTTATTAATACAATGAGATTTAAAAACAAATTAAGTACTGGTGACCAGCATCACTTTCTCAAGTCACCAAATCCCTTTAGGATGCCAGTGGCATGAAGGAGACATGGACCAGTGTCCCTTCATCCTGGTTCAGTGGTTTCATGCCTTGAAGTCTGCAATACTGAACTAAAGAGATCAATTAGTCCGTACACTGAGCTGATGTATTTAAACTTGAATTTCAGGCTGAAGTTTATGGTTTCATAGTATAAGCTGATCCACTGCTTCTGTGGGAGTGCTTTTCCAGCAGTGCTTATTTCACTATGTAGGGAGCTGGATCTAGGTGCTAAATTAGCAAGACACTGATGCAGCAGGGAGAGAAATGAGCTTGTCTTCAGTCAGTTCAGCCTGTTGAACTCACAGACCACGCAGTGAGATCCAGGATCAGTTGAAGGGAGGAGGAGCTGCACACACCTGGGGATGACTGGGGCTGTGAAGCCCCTGTCCTGAGCTGGCTGGAGCTGCTCTGAAACCCCAGGCTCTCACTGCCCAGCACTGCCGGCTGGGCTCCTGGTCCTCACTGCTGGCCTCTGCCCCCTCTGCTGTTTCACAGCAGGGATTGGCAGTGGAGCAGCTCAAGCTGGATTGTGGAAATGATAGAGCTTAAAAATAGCCCTGCAGGTTTTTTTGAAGATACGCTTACATTTTTTTTTTAGTCAGGTTAATTTCTGCATCTGACTCACCAGATTGCACAGGTACATGGACAGGTTCTACACGTGTATGTGCCTTAATGCAAAGTGTGGCATGGGGACTGGGAGGAGCTGGAAGAGCTGCAGAAATGGTGGCAGCTTGGTTTACACAGATGTTGTCACCATCTTGAAGGGTGCATTTGTGTGTGTGACTTCAATAATTTGTTTCTGGATTTTGTGCTGTGTTGCTGTCGGTGCATTCGGTCCTGCTCATCTCAGGTGGATTATAGCTGAAACCCTCCTACTCTTTCCAAATGCCTTGGAAACAGGCAGCCTAAACTGCTGCCTCTTTGGCAATTTTTTCAGGCTTCTAAAAGTTTAATATTGAAATAAAGGGGAAAAAAAGAAAAAACTTGGTTAGAAACAAGCACAGCAGCAGATAACAGCAAGGCTGGTTGCTGCCTGCGTGCTCCAGTGGTACAAGGCAAAGATGCTGCTGCTGCTGCTGAGGTGACTGGTCTAAACTCCATGACAAACGAAGGGTTAACAATGCATGGATTTCAAGGGGCTCTGTTTAGTTTTCTTTGGTTTTATTTCTTTTTTATTTTACTTTATTTTATTTTTGTTGTTGTTTTTTGTTTAATTTCTGTGTTCTGGCCACACCCAGGAGAACCGTCTGGTTTTGATTTCTCCCTTTACGGTTACATGGTAAATTTTCTTTCTCATTCTTCAGAGATGGAAACGTTCAAATACTATATATATATACATTTATTATTTTTTTCACTGCTCATCATGTTGCTTGTTATTTATTGCAGAATCTGAGGCCAGACTAAAAGGGTGACAGTTACTCGGTCTCTTCAGGCCCTTTCAATAAACCTTTGGGTAAAAAGGGGTTAGTCTGGTACTGCAAATTTCTCACTACTCCTAAAAATGTTTATTGGAATTTAGTGTTTGCTGGGTTAAACTTATTATCTGCATGGGAGAAGTTCGTGTCAGTTACTCGTGGAGAGGAATTGTTGAAAATTTTAACCTTGTTATCATAACAACATTATTAAACTCAAACTATGTGTATAATCTAAATTTTAGAAAACCTAAGTATTATTTTCATCTAGGATCTTCCCTTCCTCTGGCTCCATACCTGTTACTGTGGAGCAATCCAGTACCTGCTATAAAGCTAAGCTGGTAAATACTGGATACCTGCCCCATCTTTTTCTTTCTCTTGCTTTGTTTCTTTTTTTTTTTCTTTCAAGGTCAAGACAACCTTTCTGAGGGAAAACTGAAAACTGTTTGTTGCATATGTACTTAGGTACAAATTAATCCCTATTCTTTACAGGTCATCTGTGAGAAGGAATAAAAAATATATGTATGCTCTTTTTTCTCTCCCACTTAAAAAATGTGTGTGTGTATATATATATATAAATATAAAATTGCTAGTTTTTAAACTTAGAAATAACAAAAATGTCAAGTGTGGCTCACCTGTTTTTCCTGAGGAAAATCTGAACGTCTAAGAGATGCATTTATATGATAAACCAAGAGGACACAAATACTGACTGCCATAGTCAGCTATGTAAAGTATTAATTCAGCATTAACATTAAATGGTGCTCAACAAAGAGTTGCACAAGCTAAGGGCTGATCTGTCAATAAAATATGGTTAATTAGTTATGTTGTCCTGAATCAGGTTAATTCTGGTTTAATTCACATTGTTAATTGTATTCATATAGTCTGCATGTGGATTGTATGCTACCTTGAGTTAACTTAATAAAAATACTGAAAATCCCTACTCAGTTTAAAGATATTTAATAATTATGTAGTTTTAAAAAATCCCATACAGACTTTACTAATTGCAAACAGATGTGAATTAAAATAGTCTTAGTATGGTTCTAGCCTGCACAGATTAATGTCTAAAGAATTACTTTCCATCTGCACTCCAGCTTTCAGTTCATATTGTCACTGAAGACATAAATTTCATTTGTTCTCCACAGGCTTGTCTAGAACAAACAGAAATTTTAATGCAAAAAGAGAAGAGGGAAATAGAGATTCCTCTTGCAGTCTTTACCTCCCCTCCTCCCCCAACCTTTAAAGGATGTTTTTTCCCCATTATACAGAACCAGAGGGAAAGGTGCTGCTCCTTTTCTCAGGCTTACCTTTCTCTGTAGGGGCTCTTTAAAGCAGGCACAGTACCCTATTCCTTCATAATCAGCTGTGCTATTACACCTCCTGCACACCCCCCCCCCCAAGTTCTCTGCAACATATTTGAGAGTTATATGCAGTTGTGCTGTTTTATTAGCCCCTATGTCTTGTAGCTCTGATTTTTAATTCATTTAAACAGGGAACTTCTATGCTGTTCTGAAAGAGGCATCAGTTTGTTATTTATATAGCTCTTTATTTATAGCTGGAAAAATTAAATTATTTGAAGCTTTAGATTATTGGGTTGGAGCCCAAAGGAGCACTTTTGTTGATCTCAGCATTGCAGTACTGGCTAAGATCCTTTATTATTGCTGTTCAGGGGGGAGGAAAAAAACCTTCCCCCTCAAAAAAACAACAACCACCACCCTGCATTTAACAAATTTGTGGCAGTTTTGTGCTGGGAACCTAGCTGTGGATGATAAAGGCCAGCTTGTCACTTAAACAGCTTGGGCTGATCAAGATTAGTATTGTAAAGACCTTTAAAAAGCACTTGGAAGAATAATGGCTTGCTTGTGTCTTATTGCTAACAATGTTTAGAAATCAAGATGCTGTCTATTTTTTGGGCTGTCCAGTGCAAATACATACTGATCCCAAGGTGCATGAAGGAGGTTGCCTGGCTAGCATGCCCCTTCCCTGACAAGCATAGCTGTAGATCACTCTCATCACCTCACTCTTCAGTTAACACTGGGAGGGAGTTTCCATTGCATCAAATACAAGCTTTGTTGTTCTGCTCCAGGGTACTGGAGCCAGTGGAGATTACTCTCTGTACATTAAAAGCAGTATTTGCTTTATACCAAGCCACAGGAGCCAGCTATTGCTGTTGTTAAAATGTCCTGAAAGCAGAATGCAACAATGGTTTTTGTTTGGGTCCACTCTCTCTAATGGCATGAAGAGTATCTCATCACAGTTGTCTGTATTAAGATGCCATTTGCTCCTAGTTAAAATCCTAATTCATTTTGTCATGCTGGCTGTCTCTTAATGTCAGTGCACTCAGCTCTGTGGAAGGAAGCATGGTCTCTTACCCTGCCCTGTTATACCACTGCATGAGCTGGCAGCAGCATGAGCATGTGTAGGACAGGCATGTGTTGCTTGTCCCTTCATGGGTGTGGTAAACCTGAATTTATCTAACTGAAGTGATGTTTTGGCAGTCCTTTAGCCTTTGTGGTTGCTCCAAGCAAGGCATGTTGATTTTTCTGGAAATTTCGTATTCTAACTAGGCAGAGATCTGTTGCTATCCACAGCACAGAGGTTGCCATCTCAGAACACAGCTGAGTAAGATGGGTAACAGGGAGAGGTAGTAGAGGGTCAGCAGTGTCATACAAAACCTGCCTTGACCAATGAATCACTATTTAGGTGTTTAGATTTACAGTCAAGTCCACCACAGTACTCGGAGATAAGAATATTCTGGAACCTACAGTATGTGATATTCATTAAATATGCTTATTTTATGGTGCCACCTAGAAGCCTTGCTTACTTTCAGGGCCCCATGTATCATTGGGGAAGTTACAGGATTAGGAGTAGGCATGAGCTGTGCCCTGAAGAGCTTACAAGGGATGCTTTACAAAAACACCTTCCTTTCAGCAGTGTTCTAAGGTAGGTAATTATTACTGTCTCCATTCTACAGGTGGGAAAAGCGAGGTTCAGTGTTTGATTTGCCCAAAGCTTTGCAGAATTCCTGGTCCCAGGCATGAACTCAGATTGCTGCTCACTCTCATAGCAGTTTCTCAAGAGGACAAAGTGCTGCTCTGTGTTGATGTCTTGTACTGTGTCTGGGGTGGACGAGGGTCCTACAAAATTGGTGTGTTCATTAAGAGGGGAGAGAAGCCCTACTTGGGCTTACCCAGCTTGCCTATATCAGAGCAGGGTTTAGTGTTTTTAAACAAAAAACCAAACCAAACCAAAAATGAAAAATTGTCTCGAGTAACTTTGTACTTCTTTTTTGGTCTGGCCTCAATTGCTTTTATGTTTCTTTTTTTTTTTTTTTTAATTACTCTTATTATTCTTATTATGATTACAGTTCCTTTTTTATTGATTTTAATTTCTTTCATTTATGAAACATGCATGAACGAACAATGTGACTCTAGGAGGTTATTGCTGAGTTGTGCTGATGTCGATTTCATACTGTGATATTTTTTCTCTATTTACCTAGAGATCAGTATTTCAATATATAACGATGTGCATGTTTTCCCCCCTTCTCCCGCTGCATGCAGGGATTCGGGTTCGTAACTTTCGAGAATAGTGCTGATGCAGACAGGGCCAGGGAGAAATTACACGGCACCGTGGTAGAGGGCCGTAAAATCGAGGTGCATGTCTTCAGTAATTCAATTTCTTCTTTATATTTATTCTTTTGATTTCTTTTTGTGTCTTGCCTCACTTATTTCACATTTGGATCCCAGTCTTGTGTGTGCGTGTGTGTTTGTGTCTGTGTCCTTCACCTCCCAGCACTGAAATGTATAGAAGTTTATACCCTTTACAGAATATTTTTATTATTGTTTTGGGTATTTTTTTCCTTTTCTTTCTTCTTTTATTAAGTTTTATTCCCACCCACTCCAAGTTTTTGCCCTTCTGCTGTCTTGATTTTTCCTTTGCTTCAGTTTGCGAGGCTCCGATTTCCTGTTACCAGGCCTGAACAAAACTAACTGAAAGAGTACTGTCCAACTTCTAACTGTGTCCAAAAAAGAAAGCAGGGGGCCAGCCAGTATCCTCTCTTTCCTCTGAGGCCAGTTCTCCTCCATGCAAGTGTGAGATGATGCCTGTGGGAGGGGTGGGGACACGGGGGGCGGCAGCCCCAAGTGGGCTGTGCTATACACACTGCTGGTTTCTTGATCTGCCCATGGTCAAGAACAGGTTTGGTGAAAGCTAATCCTAAAAGTTTGCTAGCTCTCGCCGCTGGGGAGGGAAGGGTTAATGTTGGCTGTGGCCATACCTTGGGCATGACTGGTGTTAACCAGTTTGGTGTTCCACTGTGTTGAAGGCTAACTGGCATCATCCCTCCCTCCTTCTTTCTTTAAAAAAAACAAACACAGACCAAAAAGTACAAATATTGAAACAAAAAAGCCGCCGTTTTTGAGTAAGATGTCTGCATATTTTGCCTTTTTTTTTTTTTTTTCTGTTTTGTTTTGTTTTTTTATTTCCCTTTCCGATGGTTTAGCGTTTAGGGCCCTTCACTTGACTCACTCTTTCCATGGTAACTATACACAATGCTGGCGATGGTACGAGTTGGCGGTAAGTGAAACAAAAGTGCTAGAGAAGAAGCTTTTTCTTTTTTTTTTTAAATTTTTCTTAAAATTACAAAAAAAAATTAAGAAAGAAAAAATCCATCTGCCATCTCACATTAACACTACGAAATGTGATTTGACTTGTTGTCCCCACCCACCTCCTTCCCCTTCTCCCCCTTTTATTTTCAATGCTGTTGAGTAATGCCGCCTGGACTTTGGATGTACATATTGTTTTGTAGCAGTCTGAGCTGTTTGATTTCTGACTTCATGGTGATTTCCCCTTGCACATCTTACTCAGAGTTACTGAACTCCAGTTTGGCTGGTTTTTATTAATGCACCCATATCCTCTTCTCTCTCTCCTGCCCCTTCTTTCTGCTGCTCTTTCTATCTGAGACCTGTTTGTAGCTGTTATTGTTTTTCCTCTCTTTTTCTTTCTGCCCCCTCCCCAGTTTATTTCTTTACTAAGTTAAATGCAGCTGTTGGTCTCTTTGCTGACTGGTGGTTTCTGATTGGTTCTGGCAATTTTTCCTTTAAGTGCTTGTGTTGCACTTTGCTGTAGCAGCTGATTTCAGGCACTCGCTCCATCTAATGATTGTCTGTGAGACCCTATCCCCTCACTCCTCCCCTCCCCACCCTCTGAATCAATTGTGGTGTGTTTTTTTTCTTTCTTTTTTTTAATCTGTGTGTGTTTAACTGCATGCTCTCAGTCTCATCATTGTTGTTTCCCATTCTTTCTTTTTTAAATGTGTAATGTTTCTATTGTTTTGGGTCTGAAACAAGAGTAAAATGTAGCTCTGGACTCCCCACCTGTGTATGCCCACCATCCATACATCTCAAGGGCCTGAGGCAGCTTCTATTTTTGTATCCTTTTTTTTTCTTCTTCACCCTGGCCTCCATTCCCATTGGGCATGCATTTTGATAAATTATTGATGATCCATAAAGACTTCACCCTCCTTGCAAGAGCTTTGAGGCTGACACGGGGCTGCAGTAACTTGGCTTCCAAACTAGTCCATCTTTTCTTTATCAGCACCATCTCTGCAGTAACACCCCACTTGCTTGAGCAGTCAAACCGCTTGGAACTGTGCAGAGCTCTGTAAAGAGGGTAGAGGGCACAGTAAACCCAAAAATTATCCAGGTCTGCTGCTATGTATTTTGTCCCATTAGTTTTGTGACAAGGAAAAAATTATCTGGAAAAAGATCTGAAAATGGTGGGTGTAAATCAGTGATTGTGGATCATCTAAGGAGTTGGTGATGTTCCAGAGATTTCCTCAAGCCTTGGGAGTTCAAATCTAATGCTGAGGGACTCCAGGCTACCTTTTCATACCCAAGTGTCCTGCCAGTGACCTGCTGGGCCACAATTCCAGCAGTGAGCTTGAGAAACAAGTCATCTTGTACATCAGCTGGTTCAGTTCCCCTGCCCTAAGCTGCAGAAATTATTCCTGCCTCTCTAAGAGACCTGGACAAAGCACCTAGGGTTTTGCCCTTTTGATCACTGAGCTGTAAATAATCCTGTGCCTAGGGATGGCAGGGTGATGGAGGATCTGCACTTTACTCTTGTTGGCCTTTTGTTTAATGCATAATTTTAAAATGCCATGTTTAGCTGTAACTTTTATAATTAAATGGCAACTGTTAAAAGTAATTTAAAGATTGCATTAATGTAAAATTAGCTGTTTAATTTTTTTTTTTGCTCAGAGAAGTATAGTGTGTATGTGTGTGTGTGTGGTATCTGAGAGTTTTTCACCATTTTCCCTAACGTTCTGTGCTTCCTTCCCTCTCCTCCCCCTCCCCTTTCTTACTTTTAGGTTAACAATGCCACTGCGAGAGTGATGACCAATAAGAAGATGGTCACACCGTATGCAAATGGTAAGAGAGACTGTTTGTACTAGTGATGAGCTGAAACGTTTGAAGAAAGACAAAAGGGAAAAGTCATGACCTCTCCTCAGGACCAAAAGGAACCAATAAAACCTCACAAACTCTTAATTTGTATCATTATACCATTCAGTGCAACCCAAAAGTGTTTGTGGAGGAATACCATTTTCCAGATTGAGAAGTGAGGACAGAGACAAGTAGGGACATGCCCCATGTGCCCAAGATGGGTGAAGGTGCCAAGGACCAATGGGTTTCCTGCCCTACTGCTGCAAACTGATTCTGTGTGGTGGGATGTGCAGTACTCCTGTGACTCACTGCATCACGTAGATACCTAAATATGAATGCAGAAACATAACTTAAGATGCTTAATCTAAGTAATTAGCTTAATAACTTAAGATAGATCAGTTTAGGTTCTGTCTGTAAAAGTACAGCTGTCCCCAAGCAACCAGCAAAACAGAGCCTTTGCACTGCTTGTTTGCTAGCTTTTTGTTTCACACTGCCTGTGTTCAGTAAATTTTCCAGTGAACCTAAACAGAGAAAGACCAAGTTGTTTCGGTAGTGTGGAATCCTGTTTCATTGGGATATCTTGGTGGTTCTCTGTGAAGTAACTTTACTTCATAGGCGTATATAGCATAAAAAGTCATTCTCCCAGCAGAACTGAATGTTGCTTTGATAAAGATTTTGAATCTGAGTCTTTGTCCTGAACCGGCAGCAAAGTTCTTTTCGGTGTGAAAATGTTCCCAAACAGTTTCATCAAGGCAGGAAGCTGCATACAGGTAGTAGCTGGTGTGACAATCTGTTTTGATTACAAAGTAAGACACCAAACTGAGAAGATAAAAATTTTTTATGTTGTTCTGCTGCCAACTTACTGAGTGGTCCCTTGCAAGTAAGTCTTACCTTGGGTACAGAGCTGGGGAAACAGGCTTGGGATCCCAAGCAAAAGGCTTGGGATTCTGGGTACCTGGAAGGAACTAGGAGATTTTGCAGCAAAAGGCAAAGCATCCATGGTACATTGTCCTGAAAACAAGGGCAGAAAATGTCATGCGTGTGACTGTTTGGTAATGAAACTTGGCTTATTTGTGAAAGTGATAATGTACAAGAATATTTTGCTTTTGCAGGCAGCAGTTTAAAGCCAGCTTTAAAGCTATGCAAAGAGATTTAGTATTAGACGAGACTTAAGGAGTACTAGCAAGTATGGTTGTATGACTGTTGTTAAACTTAAGAGTTAACAGTCCTGTTGTTGCCACCACTGGAGTATTTTGCCATCAAGGTGACCAGTGCAGCAGCAGTGTGCCTGTATTTGCAGAGGGAGCCTGCACTGCATCTGTCATGGATACTCTGCCAGCAGGTGAGGGGTTGTTGTTGATGGGCTGCAGTTCACAGAGTTGTTCATATGGCTTCTAGAGTGGTTAGAGGTGTTAAAAGTTCAGCAAGTGCACCAGGGCTCCATGACAGAGGAAGCGTATAGATTTATTTAAATAAAAATGCCTCTGTGATTGCTAGCTCAACAGCTGAGATCTTTACTGAAAGGAATGCTTTGTGGAAGCCAACCCAGATCACATTGTTAGCTTTTTATCTCTTTTCTCCCCCATTAGAGAGCTGGAGAGGAAAAAGACAGGTTTCTAGATGTGACTGGAAATATGTACCAACTCATACCCATACTTCTTTAAGCCCTGTTCTCTTGTAGGTTTTATCTTGATGATTTGCAGTGCTTGCCAATTATCCAGATTATATTGAAATAATTTCTCTGTGAAGGCTTTCACCTGAAAAGCAGCATAGAGAAGGAGAGAAATACTAAAATAACAGTGAGGAGAAAGTGTGAGATGAATAGAATGATTTCATTTTATGAACTGTAGTTGCGTAATGCAGTTAATGAGGAAATTCAAACACTGTTGCTTTTTAGCAGATCTCTAGCAGAGGAGACAGAAGGGTGTTTTGAGAATGCAAGGCTACAATTTGACTTGCCTGAGATGACAGTCTGGGCCAGTGGCTTTAGAGAGGGCTTGTATCTGCAGTGTTCCCAGTGAAAGTAGGGAGGAGCTGGCAGCAAGGCTCCTGCAGGGAATGCCAGGTTGCACATGCTCATGGCAAATCTGCATGTCAGGTAGTTGGCATTCCCACAGCAGTGCCTCTGCCTGCTGTGGATCAGCTGATGTTTTGCTGTTCCCTCCGATACAGTGACCTGGACCTAGAGCTTGACATTAGGAAAGGGCAGTTGGCCTCCATCTACACCAAGGGGGATTGAGGCGAAGCAGAAATTGGAAAGAGCTGTGCATGTGAAGCTGGGGCGCATGCAAGAGACCATTCCCCCTACCCACGCTGCCCGTTCCTTCTCTTGGTGTAGATTTTGGCATTCACTGCAGTCTTTGTTGTTTCAGGTTGGAAGTTGAGTCCTGTGGTTGGAGCGGTGTACGGCCCTGAGTTATATGCAGGTAGAGCTTAAGTAGACACTTCCACTTCTGCCATTTAACTGCAGTGGTGTTTTTTATGTTCTTAATCTGCTGTCTCTTTATAACCATTTTACGGTTTTGTTTTTGTTTTTTATTCTTTTTTAAATTAAATTAGCGTCCAGCTTTCAAGCAGATGTCTCGCTGGGCAATGACGCCGCAGTGCCCCTGTCAGGAAGGGGGGGTATTAACACTTACATTCCTTTAATCAGTAAGTAGCTCCTGATGGCCCCTGTACTGTTACTGTGCTTGAGTTAATGGTAACCTGTTACCCTTCTTCTCTCCAGTCTGTATAATATATACTTGAAAGGATGGGTCACGCTGGGAATGAGTTTACCTTGAACCAAAGTATAGTGTACAGTTGCTGTAACTTGTTCATCTGCAGTATCTTGCTGATGAACTGCTGAATGGGTCCTTCTGAACCACAAGGAGGCTGCAGAAAAAGGGGAGGGTGTGTGTGAGGAATAGGCCATTCCCTTGCTCCCCTCCCTGTATTGAAATGGAAGAAACCAAATGGACAAATCCCTAAAGTACATATTATACAAGCTGCTGAACCACGGGTCTGCAGGGCCCCTAGTGGCATGCACCTGGATGCATGCTGGGTTGGGTTTGTGCCCTGGGACTCGTTCCCTCTCAGCATCTGTTTATGACGTGTTTGCAGATGCCTCTGAGGTTTTACAAAGTTTCATCATGAGCCAGTTTACTTCAGTTTAAAGCATAATAATAGAGGCATTGCTATATGTAGTGCCAGTTATTGGTCACACTTGTTAAATGAAGGTGGACTCTGAGTAAACTGGCATTTTATGGGAAATTGCTGCTGCTGTTATATGGGCTATCTTGTCTTTCAGGCTTTAAAATGAACATACAGAGGATTGGGTGGCAAAGAGTGGGAGGGGAAAGGAGGGAAGAGACTGATGTAAGTTGGTTGACTTTAAGGGCCTCTTGACAAATTATTTTAAAGAGCCGCTGCAGTTTTGGAAGAACTGCGTGCTGTATTGATAGTAACTCCCCATGCTTCTCAGACTCTAACCAGACTGCATGGCAGTATCGAAAGGTGGGGGGATTTGAGCCCTGTTTGGGGTGGGTAAGGCATGCCAAAACATTAACCTCTTGCATGCCAAACCTCTCTGCAACCCTTCTCCCCCCAAAGGCCATGGTGTAGCAGGAAGTATGTATGGGATGCTTGCTGGGTTATAAGCATGTCCTTCTGCAGAATTGATGCCAAATGTCCCACCGCTGTGGAGCTGTTGTGTCACTTTGTTTGAAGCAGATTGTTGTTCTCTGGGGCAGAGCTTGTATCCTTTTCACCTTCCACCTTGTCTATCTTCACAGTTCCAGGCTTCCCCTATCCAACTGCAGCCACCACAGCCGCTGCATTTCGGGGCGCCCATCTGAGGGGCCGAGGAAGGACAGTGTACGGGGCAGTGCGGGCAGTACCTCCCACGGCCATCCCTGCCTACCCAGGGTAAGCACTGGTCACAAGAGCAGAGTGCTCTGCACAAATAGCTAATCAGTTAACAAAAAACCCTAAAATTGTCTGGATGGTGAGAGTCAAGATCTTGCTAGTGCCAGAGCATTCTGCACATGATGGCAACCACTGGGGGCAAATCTAAATTTTTCTGTGTTCTTGACTGAAACAATTTTCAGTACTTGCTACAGCTTAAAGTGCTGATGGGTTCCTTCTCATAATTTCTCAATTTGTCTGCATATGGTACTTGTCATCCATTGACCCAATATGTTATAGTGCTGCTGAGAAGGACACAAAGAGAAGATCTAAAATTCCTGAAAAGGTTCTGCTCTTTGTACACCATTTGTGTTTCCATATTCAGGAATGAGGAGTATTATCCATTACCTTCATGCCTCACCATCTGGCAGTAGGACACAGAAGAGCCAGTTACCCACAATGGATTTGCTTTCTTTGTTGGAGACAGTTTAAAAAGGTTTAAAACAAAGATTAATCAAGTCCATTAATTTAAAGCTGGGAGCATTTGGGATGTAGAGAGAACATAATGCAATGAAGCAATGGCAAATGTGTGGCCTTAGCATTCTTTGCCCTCAGATTTTCACTAGTAACGCAGTGCAAAAAATGCTGTTACAAAGGAGTATTCTGCTGTTTAAAAGTAGGGGGAACTAGGTCTGTATGTGAGTTTTGTTTTGGGTTTTTGTTGGTTTGTTTAAATGTGGTGGAATGAGAGATAAATCAGCAAAACCCTTCCAAACTGTCTTTTTTTTTTGTTTGTTTGTTTCGTTTCTGATTTTGAGGATGCTTTAATCATATTGTCTTGAGTTCTACTTGCCATATTTTCTAGGCAATGTTCTCAGAAAGAACAGGAGTAGAAATGAATCCTCCAACACAGAGATGTGGACTGATCCTTCTTTTCCTTTACACTAGGCCAAAGGGGAAGAAAAAAATCATAAATCTTTTATTAAGAAGGAAAGTGGAATCCGTACACATCAGTGCAGGGAGCTGGCCTGATCTATGCTGGATAAGCTCACAATACCTTCTGTAGCAGATTAAGTGAAGAGAGCTACTGTGACCCTTTTAGAGTCTAGTCTCATACTTAAAGTGGAGCTCCAGGAAGCAAGCTGCAGTGCTCATGTATCTGTCTAGCTTTGCTCTTTGGCAATTTTGGCAATGTTTGTATTTAATTCACCAGAAGACTTTAAAGGAAACCTCTTGTCTAAATATTCTGAACAGAGTGTTTCTTCTGGGTTTCCAAATCCACTTTTTTGCCACCACTCCTAGTTTGCATTCTCTATGCTCTAATCATAGCCTCTGACCTGTTACTTTTCTGTCTGTTGCTCTAAAAATGGCCCAGTCCAGTTTTGCTGGGGAGTGCTCCACAGTGAAACAAAGCAGCAAAGCTGAGCTAAGTGCTACCATCTAGCAGAATATGAAATATTTGCACCAGGGAGGGGGAATGTGCTTTTCATCCCTGGTAGTAACAGCTAGAGCATTCCTAGCCAGAGGCTGTCATGAGTGGGGCACTGGGAAGGCCTTGTCTTTGATGTAAATCCAGCCTGAGTCCCATGTAAAAGGTTTATTTTCATTTGAAATATGGGCCAGGCTTCAGTGATTAGCCCTTCCAAATACTGTCTCATATCTGTGTTTACTGGTATTACACTGAATTTTTCTGACCCTGCTGACTGATCCCATGTCTTCATGGGCAGCATACTACCTAGTAACCATTTACAGGGCACCAGCAAGCAAGGCAGATTCACAGAGGCCCAGAACTGTCCCTAGTCCCAAGCACTGGGATGTAATTAACTACTACTGGTGTTTTTTGTCATCACAGTCTGCGTCTCTGCAAGATACTTCATAGAACAAATTGGATTCCTAGTGGAATAATACCAAATGTGCAATTCAATTCCATGTTGCAGTAACCTGTAGGACAGCCGCCACTCAGTGTGAGCATTGTTGACCTCCATGGGGTCATGGACAGGCACATGTTCCTGACATCTTGCCCTCCATCGGTTACTTTCTTCCTGGCCAGTGGAAAGATGACACCATAAGATCAGTCAGCAACATGAATGACCAAGACATAGTGAGTAATGTGGAAGAAGACAGTAAAGTAAGCTGCAGGTTAACTCAAACCTGATAGAAGGAATTGGTTTTCCCAAACCTCAGTGGTGTTTAAGTTACAAAACTTAATCATTGCATTTGAGAGCTTAGCAGAATTTTAAAAATACAGAATGTAGATTAATAAAAGCTCATTGGTATTGCCATACTGGATCAGACCTGAGCACCATCCAGGTTAGAATAAGTTTTGACAGTGTCAAATGCTAAACCAGAGGAAGGTGCAAGAAATCATAGCTCTTAATAGTTTTAATATTTATTTCAAGAGCTCAGGATTTGCTAATGCATATGTGGAATGCCCATACTTATGCATGGCCATGGTTGTTTATCCAAAGAAGGGTTTTGATACCTCAGAAAGCAACTGCTTAGGCTATTGTAGGTGAGTTAGATAGTCACCTAAACCTGACTTCGAACACTAATGCAACCTTCAGTTTTAACTGAGGTGCCACTTGGTAGAAACAAGGAGACATTATAACCTCTGACATAAAGCACAAGTAAAAACTGTACTGGAATATTGCCCTGATTTGTAGCAGCCATGCTTTTTAAATGAGAATGCTAATAAAAATGCTATATAAATAACAGAAAAAGACCAAAAGCTGAAAGAATCCAGACAGTCTGAAAAAAACTCACCTACTGTAAAACTCTAAAAGTTAAATAAGCTTGATAAATTTTATTTCTCAAACTATAGGTTAGACATTCACTTGTGCATGGTCATTAAGTACCTATATGAATAATAGACTTGCCATAGTAAAGAGTAATTTCGTCTAGGAGTGTAAATACATACGAGATTCACTTTTTGGATTTGAAGCCATAGTAGACAGAAGACTAGATACAGGGCAGCAGACAGCTTTGAGGGTTTGAAGTGGTTTTTTTGCTCCTTTTCCAACACAACAGTCAGCTGTTGGTACACCTAAATGTTATGCTGGCTACTTTACAAAACCGGCCTGTTTCTTTTTCCCTTAGATGTGTTTTAGCACAGCTAGTAGGCTTTTCACAGATTGCACCAAGATTTGACTGGCTGCCAGATTGTTTTATACTTCTGGTCAAGCTACATAACCGGAATATGGTTCTCAGATGAAGGAATTCTCTGGTTTTGCTAGCATTAAGAATCACAAATATGGATATTCTACCATATAAATAAACCTTGCTAAATTTCAGCCCTGGAAGTTGATGTCAGTCACGTCCTAACAAAAGATGGAGGATTCATGTATGTTTGGGTGTTTGGATCCCAGAACTCTTACTCTTACCTGTTATTAGTGTTCCTTGCAGTTTTCTCTGGAGAGCTGATGCTAGCATCTCTTGCTGATAGAAATAGTGGCCTGATCCAATGTGGTAATGCTTATGTTCATCCAACTGATTGTGTTTGGAATAACTGTTAAAACTGCTAATCTGTTCATAAACCAAGTCACTTCCTCTGTCGTGCGTTTGCCTTTCCTGCAGGAGCAGGTGGAGTATCACTGCTAAAACACTCCTGGTCCTAGATAGAGAACCCAGCAATGTAAGTCACTGCCCCAGGAGCCAAACTCTTTGTTATGTGGTTGTAAAATTATAGCTTCAACAAACATGATCTTATGGCCTGCTTCTCCCTGCTGAAGTGGCTCCCTTCTTCCTCTAACAAGGGTCTCTATCTTCATACCTGCTCCCAGCGCTCTTGGAGACTACAGTAACTTTGTCCATTGGGAATGGAGTGTACTTTTCCTGGGGAAGGCAGCAAGACTAAATTATTCAAGCAGTAGCTAACACTGCAAGATTTTTTTTTGTTTTATTTTTTTAGTAATAGCATGCAGAATTTTGGCAAGATCTGCTGGGCTTTTTTGTGTGTGTGCCTTACAATAGGTGGGTGTCTGAGGGTGGCAGGCTCTTGGCAGCATTTCACATTCCATCTGATGAGTAAAAAATGATAGTCAAAAGAATAGCTAGTGTTCCATACCTTCTTTTTTCTTAATGTTATGGGTAAGTCATGCACATCAGATCCATGAACATCGCAGATGGTGGGATTAATGCTTTTTAAAGCCTTGAGCAAGTTTGTGTGGAACTCTTCAGAGGACAAAGCTGGAGGAAATTCCTCAGTATGTGAAGCACACGCTGAACTCAAATGGGTGGGGGGCATCCCCTCTCTTCCTTCCTCATCCTTCCCCAACCCATGTCCCCAGAGTGAGCTGTGTAGTCTTATGCTAGTGAACGCTCTGGTAAGAGCAGCTGTTTGGGAACCCCAGGCTCTGTTTAACAGTTTTTGTGCTTGAAGTTCTGAGAGAAACAAAACTATGGCTTAAAGCAGAAAAAGCACCATCCCATGGAAACCCTTCCAGTTGCTCCTCTCTGCTATGGAATAAGTAATTACTACCAGGGACTCCCACTGCACCTTTCAATTTTCGGATCTTGGACCAGTCACCTAACCTTTTTAGCTCATTATCTCTGCTTGTGAAAGCAATGCATTGTGGGTATTTTTGGTTTTTTCTTTTCAATTACATTTCTCTGTGTTTACTTTGATCAGAATTGATTGACTTGTTTTCCTGAGGTGTTGCATCGGTTCTTTAAGATGCTGAATAATAATACTTTGCATGCTTGTGTGATCAGCCAAATCTTATCGCATGTCTAATGTGCAGGGTAAAAGCAGGTGATGTATGGATGTCAGAAACAAAAGTCATGCAGCCCTGTGAAGCCTGAAAAATGTAATCGGGCACAAGTCTCTGAACCACACTTCCTGACCTAGGTGACTCCAGCCCCTGTGGGATGCCTTCTGTGAAGGGCTCCTCAATTTCACAAGCCCACTTCATTAAGCCAATGTTTCCATGTGTTTTAGGGGGTAACTAAAATCATTCCAGGAGAATAACCAAGAGTGGAGGTTTCTAAACCCTTGTGTCTCTCTTCAGGACGTCAGATCTTTTTGAGTCAATATTTACTGTACAAGATGGTGGTTCCCCTCCGTCTCTCCTTTGCATACTGTCTCCCCCTCTGCCCACCCCTTCCCCCTTTGCATGCCATGGAAGATGACTTGGAGCCGTGCGTGCGCACACACGTTCTCTTGCTGATTTGCTCCTGCCAAAAGCCCAGGTTGTGGATTCATACATCACCTGCCTGTGTAAAACGCATGTGCATGCTGCCGTCCTCAATAACCGGAATGTGTTTTCTGTTCTTTTGTTTTTTGTTTTTTTGTTTTGTTTTCTTTTTTTTTTTTTTTTTGTTTTTTTTTTGTTTTTGTGTGGATTTTCTGCAGTGTGGTTTACCAGGACGGATTTTACGGTGCTGACCTCTATGTAAGTACACACACCGGAGCCTTCTTTGTCCCCAACCCCTGACAAGCCAGCCTTTTTTTGGTTTTTTTTTCTTTTTCTTTTGGTTTGTTCGTTTGGTTTGGTTTTTAAAATATCATTTACTTTAATTTTCTTCTTCCTTGTGGATATATATTTATATATTTAGGAATGCAAGCATGCTTCTCTGTCACTGCGCTTGCCCCTGGGTGCAAGACCTAAGCCTTTGGGTTTCCTGATCATTGCCAGGGTCAGTTTATTGGGTGTCCTGTCCCCCATATGCACACTGGTACTAATCAACCTGAGAGATGATTAGCAAATTAAAATTTCTCTCAACACTTCTCTCATTTACATAATTTGGATATAAAAATAACAGGACTGGTTTAGCCTCAGACCTTCCTTTCCTTCTCCCCCTCTTCCCTCCCCTTTCTCTTCCCTCTTGGGGCCCTTTCGGGTTTGATTTTGTGTAGCCCACACTGCGCTGTACAAGTTGTATGTTTAAAAATGTCCGTGTGCCACTGGGATGTGGAGATTATCCCTTTGGGGAAGACACTGAGACTGATTAAAAATGGAGGCTGAGATGCTAGAGTGAAAACTGACATCTCATTTTGCTGGTAGGAATGTCACCTAAATAGGCTAGATTGTCTCACCTCTTTAGGGAATTGTAAAGTACAAATATGTGGAGATGTTTGGTTACAAGAGTCAGCAGCCTCCTCCTGTTTGGCAATTAGCTGTTATACCACGGGAGACTTTGTCCTGTCATTGTCTTTGTCCTACCCAGTCAGTCTGTATTGCAAATCTCCAGGGAGTCTGTGTGTACATAGGTGGGTTGTGGATGGAGGTATTTGAACTGGCTAGTGAGAATAGTGCTTTCCTCTCCAAGGGAGAGCTGCTGCAGAGCAGGAATATGGTAGGAACTTGCCTTTCAAAGTCAAAAGGTTCAGTTGCCACTGCAACTCATAGCCTGCCTGGCTTTATCAGAGTTCCCAGTTGTGGCATTGTAGGTCATAGCTCTCTGGAGCTGGGAAGTTTTGTACAGTATGGGTAGGGACACAATTGTCAGCACGAATTTCACAGTCCTGCTCCTTTGAAGGTGCTATTCCTGACATTTATAAAGAGGACCTGGAGTTAGACTCGGGATAATGGATGGAACTAGCTTTTGGATTTTGTTGGCTTATATGGAGGATCAAGTTCTAGACAGGTGTTTTTCCCAGCCCAGAGAGAACAGTTGGAAGATGTGCTGTCTGACATAGAGAGAACTGCGTGCATTTCTTCACTCTTCCGTACACTATCGTGTGTGCAGTCCTTTAAAGATTGATCTCCCTAGTCAAGTGTTTCTTTATAAAGCTGTGTCAAGGACTACAGAAGGTTCTGTGTTTTTCTGCCTCACTCCTAAAACACTACCTTTACTGACACTGATTTTGCTATGACATGTAACCAAGAAAATGAGTGGTGCTTAGTGCCTCTTCCCACAGAGTATGGCATATAAAAGGCTGCCATGTTGAAAGGGAAGTAGTCTGGCCAGTGTTACTCCCTATTTTTGAGAAAGCTTCTTCAGAGCTTTTGTTGGGGAGGAGAGGCTTATATAACATGTAAGTACAGAAACTTCAGCAGTGAAGAACACCCATAACCACTTGGTGCTTCAGGGCAGTACCACCACATAACACAAAGCCAAACCCCCAGGTCAGGTTAGAACCATTAGGTGGATTTCTGGTGACTTTGCTCTTGGTGGCAGTGATGTCACTGTCAGAAAGCAGGATGATGGAAGAGAGGACTGCATCAAAGTGGATGATCGTGCTTTTTCCTATGTTATTGCTGGCCAGAGCCCTCCAATGGAGCTCAGTTATCATTATCCAAACTTGAAGTTGCCCTTCCAAACAATTTGCTTGGCACAGGTGGAATGACTTCAGTGTCCCTGTGTCTCACTGATTCGTTGTGCTTTTCACTGCAGTGCTTCTATCCCTCTGGTTGCTGTGATAGGTTTACCCAGATTCCGGAAGATATGGCAGAGGACAGTTCAGTTAGGACTGGGGGGAAGTTAAATCAAGGTTCTCTTAAGACTTCTGAGTCCGTAGGGTTGTGGAAAGGAGCTGAGCTGGCAGGGAGTGGTTAATGCTAGGTGAGATGAAAGGGAAGTGTCCCAAGTTTGGGCTGCTTTTTCTGCATATATGCTATGCACCGATTTCTCATTTTCCTCCTCCTCCTTTTCCTCACTCCTTTTTTCTTTCCTGGGGCAACCATCCTGCTAGCCATTTCTTCTGTGAAGAAGGCATTCCATCTGTTGTTGGATGCGTCCCACTCTGGCAAGACACCTGAATTGATAAAACAACCTGCCCCAGGATGCAGAGGGCTTCATTTCGGATCATAAGAAAGGTTATCTTTCTTCTACAATGGGGTCAATCTGGGTGGCGGGGGGGGAAACCCAAACAAACCCACCTGTGCAAAGACTGCTCCTGCCTGTGAAAAGCGTGCTTGCATCCACTGGAAAGAAAAGGCTGGTGAGCCCCGCTGTGGGCTGTATGTATGATTGTTTCTTTCCACAGCTGTGTTTTTTTGAACTGCTCTTCCTGTGTTCTGTTATAGAATAGTCTTACAGGAACCAATCATTAGCGCTAAAATACCTCAGGTAGGAGTGCCAGTGTGACCTGCCAACCAATCAGATTGTGGATTGCAGTGGAAAAAACTGAATTATACTAACCATTCCAGCACCACATTAGAGATGGGAACAGAGGCTTTTTTAGAGCAGCGCAGACTCACGTATGAGCCAAGCCCCCGCTGTAGCAGGGTGGCGTGTGTCCAGATTTCATACCAAGTGGCATTTCACTCAAAAAAACCAAACAAAAACCAATCAAAAACTAAAAACCAACAAAACTTTAATTCAGTGGAAAGGTTAACAAGGTCATGCTTGTCCCATTACCATGTAGAAGCACCTGCTGCAATGGACACCGTTGTCCTGTCACCTCTTCTAATTCATTCATGCTCATTCCTGGTGCACGTATGCCACCCTTCTAATACAGAAATACCAGAAGCGGTTCTAGCCCTTTCTGCTTCTTAACTTCTGTTGTATGGAAGTATGAGGGTGGAGAAGACACATCTGAGAGATGACAAATAAAGACCCTAAAAATTGGGCTTGCTGCCTAAACCTGGCAAGCACTAAAATGTACCTAACTGGTACCGTGAGTTCCATATTTCTCTGGGGTTGTGGACACACTTGTGTCCTAGGGGCAGAATGGCTCTTTGGAGTAAAGAGGGCAGTGACATACTTTGTGTGCCCTTCTAAGGCAGGAAGGGAAAAGGAAAAGGGAGATTTATACCACACTGGCATAGTAAGCTGTAGTTTTGGATTTCCTCTTGCTCTCATTGGATTCATCACCTGATACGGACTTGAGGAGTGGAGGAGATGTACTTGAGCTGAACTGCATAAAATGCTACTTTATTTTCATTAACATACTCAGTAATTGGAATGCTGCTTTAGTTGGGATTGCAGCTTCCTGTATGTGTTGTTTTCCCATGTTTGTCATTCAGAAAATATAAGACAATACTGAAAAAGCTGCCCTCTAATGTTAAAGAAGGAATTTAAAGTTAAAATATTGCTTTGTTGATGAGCGAAGGACAGTAACATCACAGAAGAATAGTTTTAAATTTGAGCTTTTGTTCATTCCCAAGCAGTACAGCTGTTGGACAGCTCAGGTCTGTAGGCTCAAGCACTACATGGGGAAAGGGATCCAGCATAGCCCCAGCAAGACTGGAATGCCAGATAGACTGAGAAAGAGAACTTGAATCAAGATAAGCAGCATTTAGGCTGGTGTTCGTTTCTCTCACATGGTCCCCAGACAGTCCAAAAGCTTCTACCAAAAAGGGCTAATCTTAATTTGCACAGTCCTTTTGGTTGTTTTTAGTGCCCAGTGAAAATGCATAAGCCTTCTCACTAGTTCCTATTCCCTTATGGAGGCAGTAATTAAATTATCCCATTGATAGAAACGTCTCAGACAGAACATCTTCACAAGAAGCTCAGCTACACTTACTTCTTTTGAGATGAGACTAAAGATTTTTAAAAACTGAACCTGTATGGGTAACCTGTCCCTGTGGAACCAAACAGGTGGAGTGGGAGTTTGCATGGCTGTCCTGAGTTTCAGGCACTATGCCACTCATTGGTTTCTTCTGTTGCAGTTTGGCTGTGGCACTGAAGGAATGTGTTGAAGCTGGCAGGGCCCTTTTTTTCCTTTCTTTTTTTTTTTTTTTAATCTTTTTTTTTTTTTTAATAATTCTTTCTTTCATTTGGAAACACATTTTTCCCTCTTGGTTACTGTGGTGGCAGGTGCTCTATGCTGTTACAATTTTTATTTACCTAAAGTGGGTGGCACCAGAAATCACTAGGGCTCCTAGGACCTTGCAGATGAGCTCTGCATATCAGTTATAAGTTTTGTGTGAACAGGAATACCAGGAGAAAATATCTGGTGCATTGGACAAGCTGAACAGGCTTTAGATGCATTTACTGAATTATATAGGTGGATCCTAGGTTATGGAGAACAGGAGCATCAGCTGGATAAGGCAACCTGTACAGTGCCTGCTCTGTACGGTCCCAGAGCTTGGTGAAAGGATTTATATAAAAACAAATTATAGTTGCAACAGTTCTTCCTCTTTCCTCCACCCTATTTTGGTGTGCTTGGACCTGCCGGTCATGCTAAATACATCCCGTCTCAGAAATCTCCCAGCTGTCCACACTCATTGCTCCTCTGACAGGAATGCACCATGGCCATTATGATCCCCATTTTTGGTTTTATTTGAAGTACACATAAGTAGGCTTTGCAGATTGCTTTGAAATGAGCAGGTCTGCCTGTATGTGTGTACCTCTATCCTGAGATTTTTTTTTTCCTTTTTTAAATGACCAGTAGCTTCAGTTTGCATCAGTGCATGGTTAAAAAGCAATACATGTCAGCTATTTCTTAACTTCATTTCTCCAATGAATTATTTCTCCTGGTTTTTTTTTTTTGTTGTTTCTTTTTTCTTTTTTTTTTTTTTTTTTTTTTTTTTTTTTGTTTATTGTGCAGTTGACTGAAGAAATGTTAACATCCCGCTCTAAATCTCTCAGTGGAGTCTCTGTTCCCTTCTCTGATATAACAGATGGGTTATTGCTTGTTATAATTATTAACATTGTGGTGTGGGACAGGGCTAGGGTGGGAGCCATCCTGGGGGGCGAGGGCGGATGCTGCGGGCGTCGTTAAGGTTGGAATGTTAACTCCAGTGGTGACTGACTGTTTCCGTAATAGCAGGTTGTTGTGGCTGCACGCTCTAGTACTTGAGGCTGTGTACTTCACTGAGCTTGTGGTAGAGCCTAGGGCGAACTGCTGTCCCAAGAGAATGCTGGGATGGATAGAACTAGCCAATATGAGTCTGAACGTGGTGACTTTGCTGGTTGTTCTAGCTCCAGATGTCAGCATGCTTAGTTTTTAATTTTGATTAATAAATGTTACTCCATTCCCCCTCCCACACCTGATTCCAAACCTTCTTTCTTCTTCTTTTTTTTTCTTTGGGTTTTTTTTTTTTTTTTTTTTTTTTTTTTTTTTTTTTTTTTTTTTTTTTTTGTTTTTTTTTTTTTTTTTTTTTTTTTAAATTTGGTTTTGTTCTGTTTTGTTTTCCTTTATGAGAGACATGAGTTAAAAGACAATTATATGATAAGCCTTTTTGGTTTCAAACTGCATCTTGCTGTCATGTTCAGAGTATGTGCCAGGCACGTTTGAAGCAGCTTCTGGTCTGAAATGTGACTGGCAAGTGTGGAAGTGTGGGGCAGAGTGGGAGCCAAGGGTGCCAAGGGTAGTGCCTGGAGAAAATGCCTCCTACACCGTGCCCAAGTGACAAATCAAGGGGTCAGGAAGCATCTAAGCTAAGGGGATACTGCAATGACATTGATATAAAGTTTTGTCTTAATTTGGTGAGGTTAATGAAGATTGGATTTGGATTAAGGCTGCACCTCATTCCTCTGGCCTCTGTCATGTTTTACATGGTGGTACAATGGTAGCATGGCAAAACCAAGCTAAACGTCCCCAGCCGTCAATCCAAAATGCAGGATTTGAAACAGCCAGGTGAGATTAAAAGGGCTAAACTGTAACATGGCATCTTTTCCAGGCCATGTGGTGATGTTTCACAGGTGTTGCTTTTTACATCTGTGTTGCTTTTTCAGCTGTTAACTAGAAGATTGAAGAGGCTGCAACTCCCTTTTCTCTGGAGTAGGAAAGGGTCTCCAATATTCATTTAAAATCATTGAATCATTTCTAATTTAAAAGCTACCCAGGTCCAGACTGAGCACTGTTGAGCAAAGACAAAGTTCTGTAGTGGAGCTGATCTTGTACTCTTAGTTCCTTGTATGCAAAAAATATATAGGGAAGAAGTGATACAGGTATGTTGAGCTGATTCTGGAGGTGAAGAGCATGACTCTGCCTTCAATGTCAATTGGAAGAAAAAGGGAAATGTCAATTGGAAGAAAAAGGGGGGGGGAAAAAAGCCAGAAACAATCTGGATTTTTTTTCTTTTTTTTTTTTTTTTGTGGCTCACTGTGTTTTTAGAAAGTCAAAACTATGTTTCATTCACTAAGCCTTCACCCCAAGTTAAAAAATGTGTTCAGAAATACAATAAAGATCTAACCAGGCTTCAGAGCCCTATTTGCTGCCTGCTATGCCACCTTTGTCCCTATCTGAAAGGTGGCTGGCCTTGGTCTTCGAGTACTGCAGGCCTTGCTCTGCCCCAAGAGCTCCTTGAGTTCCAGAAGGAGACTTGCAGGTCTTCTCTGAGTCAGAATTCACATTTTGACAACAGAGCTGTTAAGTACATTTTTAGTCACTACCTCTGATCACCTTTGCTACAGGTGTGTAGCATGGGCAGAAATACAGCAGCAGAACAGACTGTTCTGGCATAATTCTCTTGATTTGTTTCTTTCTTATATGGAGAGGAGGGGAGAACAGTCTGGCTGGCCTCAATATTGGTGTGCTTGTTGACAATCCTGAAGCCAGTGGGGACTGTCTTCTCTGACCATCTTTTCCTGATTACTTTTCACCACCTCTGACTACTAATACTTTTGCACATGTGAACCAAATTAAATTCTAGCCCTTTGGGTTTTCCTGGCTGTAAAAGAGAGAGGGTAAGGAAAAAAGTAGGAATTTCTCTGAATGGTTCCCTTTCTAAAATACTTCATAGAAAGTGTCCACCTCTGATTTTCCCTCCTTAAGAGGAAGGGGCCATAGAAATTACCTTGCCTGCAAGATTCCAGGTCTTTCCTGGTTTCCATTTCCTCCATGCCAAATTGCATTTTCTGTAGGGTTGTAACAATGCTCAGTTTTCCTTTAGTGTATTCCTTTTGCTCAAGAGGATAATGGAAGGGCCTCCCTGGTCCCTCTAGGGAAAGGAATATACGTGAGTTAATAAGTGATGCTTGTGATAGACATGACATGAGAGCTGATGCAGTTTGAAACACTTCCTCTCCTTGTGATGTGTGTGACTTTTTTTTTAATATTTTTTTTAATGCTCTCCATGGGTGGACAGGTATCTGTAAAGTCAGTTCTCTTCTCTCCTGCAGGGTGGATATGCAGCCTACAGATATGCACAGCCTGCTACTGCAACAGCAGCCACGGCCGCTGCAGCCGCTGCAGCAGCTTACAGCGATGGGTATGTAAGGGAGGTGTCCATGGGGGCTAGCTTGCTGTGCCCAGGGATTCAAGGAGCATTGATCCATCACAGAACTTCTGCTTCTTTCCCCCATTTCGTTGTCTGACCTGCACTCGCATGTGCACACATGCATGCACCACCCAACACGGAAGACTTGAGTGCACGGTTTGTCTCTGCTCCTGGACAGTATTGCTCTTAGTGTATGTGAGCTGGCACAGATCCTGACCTCTTCCCTGTCCTTGTGATTCTCCTCTGCACAAAGCAGGCAGTGTGGTTACAGCCTCAGAGTCAGAGATCAGGCTTTGGGCAGGCTACTAAATCACTGGGTGCGTTTCTCTCCCCCTCATAAAGTAAAAATAACTCAGCTCATGCAGTGCTCTAGGATCCTTTAGCATGCAGCTCTGAATAGATACAAAGGATTGTCTTCATCAGAGTGCTTGCCTTGAGATTTTTCATTGCCTGTGCAATGAGGCCATGTTTTAATCCTAGCACATTAAAGTTTATGCTCCTCTCATAGTGGAGAATCCCTCACTGCTTTCCATTCAGCAGCTGTTACCGTGCCAGTAGCGCTAGTGCCAGCAGTCACTCTGGTCCCCAATTGCATCACACAATTACCCAAAGGTAAGGGATGCACTGGCTGACATTTCAAAGGTGCTGACCTCTTTCCTGAAGGTCAGGCTCATGGCCAGTGCCACATTCCTCCTGGCAGGCCGTTCTCTCACCCATCTCATACAGTGCATGGCAGCATGCTCATAGGATCTCTCTGCAGAGGAGCTGCCCGCGTGCCTGTGTGTGCATGGATGCATACATGTGTGTGCAAGGGCATGCTGCTGCTTCCATCACCTGTGGTCAGAGAGCTATTACTCTGCCCCTCCCAAGTGACTTTGTTTTTTCTTTTATATCTTTTCTCCCTCTCTTCAGTTATGGCAGGGTGTACACAGCAGATCCTTACCATGCCCTTGCCCCTGCCGCTAGCTACGGAGTTGGCGCTGTGGTAAGTGGGATTTTCTTTCTTGTGCTGTTTCTCATTTCCAGCATGGGGAACAGCCACTGGGTATCATGCACTGAAACCTCACCTACCCAGAAAAACTTCTTTGTTAAGGGAGGAGGTCCTTAGCAGCAGTGCTGGGTTCCCAGTTGTTCCGCATTCATGTTTATGTGTGCACTAAGAAAGGAACCAGGCTGTAGGAGACCAGTTATTACTCGGTCTCACACATCATCTAGTACAATAGGAAATGAAAATCAATAGCAGACAGAACTGCCAGGAGCCAGAACACTGTTGGTGAATCAGTGGAACTGTATCGAGGTGATGCATAGAGCAAATATCAGCAATACTTAGAGATTCAGGATACCCTTTTTTGCCATTTTCAGTTCTAGGAAGCAAGGGAGTAAGTTGTTCTTGTGACATCTTGCAGCAAAGCTGCTTCACTTGGTTCCCTCTTGCACTGGTGGAAGGATGCGGTGTCCTGCCTGCCAGCAGTAGTTATGCAAGGGCAGGATGAGGTATGCTGGCATTGGAGGGGAGTGGAGCAGCTTGCTGAAAACACATGCTTGCCCATCTGCTGGCCAGTGCAGTATCTATGGTGTTGCAAAGGCTGGAATACAAATGTGCTCAGAGAAAAAGACACCTAAAAATAGATATCTGCAGTGTAGCACCTCCATTTCAGCCTCAGCTCACCATGTGGATTCTCTTTAGGGTCAATGAGGGAAAAGCAGGTAATTCTAGGATACCCAGTCATCATATCTATTTTAGACCTTTACCTTGAGGTGAGGTGAAGAGCATCCTAGAAGTTCTGGTCTCCGCAGTCTCTAAAGGCAGCCTGGACAACTGGCTTGAGATTAGGACTGGTGAGTCCCCTCTCTGGTACCGAATTTCCTTCCACCAAGACTTGCCAAACTTCACCTCCAGCTGGCTGGCCATGAGCATGCCCTCCTGAGCCACATCTTTGGTTTTGCAGGCAGAGTTCTCTCTTGCTTCTTAGAGGTGCTGATGGTGGTGGGTCAGTGCCAGGACAGGTCCTTCCAGAAGCATTTGGGTGCTGTCCTGCATATCTCTACACAGTTCTCCTCCTAACAAGCTTTTCTTCTCCCGTTTCATTTCTACAGGCGAGTTTATACCGAGGTGGCTACAGCCGATTTGCCCCCTACTGAAGTGACGTGAGCCCCCTGCAAGTGGGACAGCCCCCCCAGTTCATGAGGCCTGGCTATTGCAATATTTACTAGTAGAGGAACTCTATAGCAAGTCTTCGAGGAAAAACAAAACAAAACAAAAAAAAACAAAAAAAACAAAAAAACAAAAAAAAACAAAAAAAAAACCCACAAAAAAAAAAAAGAGAAAATACTTTTTTATACCTCACTATGTTCTTCGAATATGTATTTTTTTTCCTTTAAATTTCTGCCTTTAATTATTTTGTTCCAAAGATTGTGCTTTTTTTTTTTTTGGTTTTTTTTTTCATTTTTGGATTTTTTTTAACTGTGGTAAAAATAATGCATTTCCGTGTATGTATGTTGGTGCATAGCTTATCCTACCAATCACGGAAAAGGCGATTAGCGATAAGGAAAGCTGTTAGAAACTGATATCATGCAATTAATCAGGAACATGCAGACAGAGTTACTTCCCTGGGTCTGGTGCTTGGTGCCTGTGAGACAGGAGGACGTGAGGGAGAAGTCTCCACCTGCCGTGTTTCTGGTCTGCAGAAGGAAGCACACTTTGGCTGTGGCTGGGACCTGATTGCTGGTGGGAAATAGTCGTTTACGTTTGGAAATGGGGGAAATGCAGAGACTTTCTTTGTTTCTATCACCATCTGACGCACACAGGTTTGTGACAGTTTCAGCAGTGTCAGAACTTTAGAATTCACAAGAGAAGAGTCCCTCAACCTGCCCAAAGACTTCAACTATTACCTGCTCTATAGGGGACAAGACTTTGAAAGGAGTTTTTGATAAGGATGATCTTTTCCCCACACACAGAACTTCTACTTGGTGATTTTTTCCGCTGCAGGTGGCTGTAATTGTCATAGTTTTCATTCCTCCTTTTGAAGATCTTTTTCTCTTGCTGTCCCTTTCCACCCCTTGGTTCCTCGAGGAGTGGCAGATGCAGTGCAGGATCATGCAGAGTACCTCTGTTGTGGGCAGCAAGTGATTAAACTTGGGAAGGTGAAGCACCTGCAGCCTTGCAGAGGAAGAAAGCGAGCAGAAGAGTTGAGCGTGGCACATGCTCTGAGGCCCAGCATGCAGGGGCTCTGCTCCTGGGCTGCTTAGGTGCTTCTGCAAGTAATCTGTTTCAAATAACATGAGTGAGGAAAAACCAGTCATGCATAAGCTGCTTGAGGTGAGGGACAAGCTTGTGGATTTGTGTGGGGGAAGAGGATCTTTTATATCTAAATGTGATCCTGAAGTAGTTTTGTATCTGGCAGAAGCAGTTTGTGCAAGCTCTGAATTCATAGGAACTTCTTACCACAAGCTATTTCAGGCCCTTCCATAGCTGCATTGGAGCCCCTGGGTTTGTTTTGCCCAGCTTCTCACAGAATGTTGTGCACCTGGTCTGCTGAGTCCATATAGACACTACATATTAGAAGACTTGGAAGGATAGAAACTATTTAGCTGAAGGGTCCACGACTCCCAAGACCATCTCCCTTCTGCTCTCACAGACAGAGAATTCGCTGTGTTTCAAAGACAGAAAACTCAGATGACTGTGAGCTGTGATGTGATGCGGAGTTGCTGCTCTCCAGGCCTCCCAGTTCAGCTACTGGCTCCTAGAGTGCTCCCAGTAAAGCCAGTGGTCAGAGGCAGGCTCTAATCGCATGCTGGAGAGATGCAGAAGTGTAATTGTACCGGGCTGCCTCGACTCTGTGCATTGGTGCTGGGGTGAGCCACTGCCCTCAGAAGGGCAGCGCCGAGTATGGATTTGTTGGCGGAGCCTCTCCAGCTCCTGTTGAACACCTGCTTTTCCATCCACCACTGATACAGAATAGGAGAATTCCTGCATTTAACACTAAGCAACATCAGCAAGCAGAGGTCTCACTCCTGGGGGAGTGTCCTGCTCCAGCCACACACAACCACACACTTTTTGCTCTTCCCCAGTGATACATGGATCTTCTCCGTGCACAGCAGAGTGGAGGCACCTCAGATGGGAAGAATGGGGACGCCATTAGTTAAGCTAGAGACCCTGAAGCTATTGATTTTTCTGGAGGAATAGCTAGATAAAGGGGACACCAAACTGCCAGCCTGTTGGCCACCTATTTTTTTTTTCCTGGTTTTACTGTTGGTTTTTTACTTTTTTTTTTTCCAAGCCAAAGTTTGGTTTGTTGCTGTTATGACAATTTTTTGTTGTTTGTATATAAATACTTTAGCTTGAAAATAGGGAGGGGGAGAACAGGGTGTTGGGGCTTTCACAAAATCTAGGAAACAAGGGAGACTTGGCATGTTTGGGGGTTTTTACTGCCTGAGTTGGGGTAGAAGAGGGAAGACTTGTGGTAGAGATAGTCATATTCAAGGGGATTTATTTCCACTGCAGAGCAGCCAGGGGACTTCTGGAGCTGGGATGCAGCAAAAGCCTCTCTACTGGATTTGTTCTCCCCACTGTGGATGGAGGGCCTGAGCAAGGCTGTCCTTTCCCTTCCTGCAGGCAGTTCCTCAGGCTGTGAGCCCAGGAGCATCTGCAGAGCCCCGCTGGGGCAGCTGCTCCCCCACTGCCCCTCCCACATTCAGTTCAGCTGGTTCTGACTGCGGCTCCCCAAAAGCCAGGTTTTCCCACCCTGCCTGCCCTCCCCTGCCCTGGCAGTGCCACCTGCAGTCCCCTCCTGCCACTTGGCCTCCCTGGGAGTAGGGAGGCCAGCCCATTTCTGTCTCCTGGCAGAGTCTATGCATGGCAGCTTCAGCCCACCCAAGTATGTTAGGAATGTGAGGGGTTTAGTGCGGAAGCACCCAACTTTTGGGGGGCTGTGGTCCCCCAGTCTCCGAGTAAAAGCTGTTCTAAGACCATCCAGCCTGATTCCTCCTGTATCCGAGCCTGGCCTGCTCTGGTCCCTCCCTGGCGGGCTCCTCTGGTGCATTAAGCAGCCAGTGCCTCTGTGGCTCCCTAGTTAATGCTGCAGGATTCCCTGAGGGAGCTTGCTGGTAGCCTGGCATCCTTCTCTCAGCACTGGGCTGCAGAGGGGACACCGGGACACTTGCATGGCTGGGGGCCAGAGGTAACTCACTGGTTCCAGGTGTCCAAAGCACCAGACCTCCCAAAAACTTGCATGGCAAGGTTTCTTGAGTGAGTGTTGTGCATGACAGGAGAGCTCTTCAGCCTTTCTTCTCTGTTGGTGAACAACGGCTCCAGTTTCACTCTGATGTGTTGTGAACTGGCTAGAGATGCTTTCAGAGTAGCCAAGGTGTGGCTATAACCATCTTCTGAAGAAGTGAAGACAAAGCCTATATCTCCCTATGCAAAATTAATTACGTTTAATAAATTGAACTGGGCCCTGGCTTATTAGAATGATGGCATTAGTGTTTGTCCATGCGATGGGTCTGCAGTCACAGGTCCCTTGCAAAGCAGGGTTTGGCTTTCTGAGGGAAACCGCACAGGCAGCCTGGCAGATAGCTTGCTGTTTGTCACCTTCTAGTCTGGTGGCATCTGGGATTCCTCTTTGATGCAGAGAAAAAAAAAGTATCTTTAACTGTAGCTGTTTGTGCTGTCTTGCAATAGGTCCAGCCAGCACATGATGATATACAGATTAAATTTTGGTTTGAAGAGTTGGTTTATTTAATGTGCTGGTCTGTATTTCCTTGCAGTTACGGTTGTGTTGGTATAAAGTAACTATTACTGGTATAGCATATTCTCTATTGGGAATAAGTTACATTGATGCCCAGCACATTAGCTAACTGTTGTCCTGGTCCCCATGTGTGGGAGGCTGCACTGTTGTAGTGGGTTAGCTTTTCTAAGAAAAGCCATGACAGGACCTGGAGGCAATGGGGAGCTCGGTATGAGCCTACTATAGCCAGCTTTTCCCAGGTTAAGCAGTTAGGTGGGTCCTGTGTCATGAGTTCAGATAGACAAAGCCATGTTTAAAGATAGCTATGGCTTGGCTGTTCCAGTGCCTGAGAGGGAGCAGACTTGCCCAGCGAGGAGCACTGGCTCTGGAGTCTGAGACCCGTGTTTCGGACAGGGCTCTGTCAGTGACCCCTCAAGGGTCCCTGTGGGGCAGTCATGTCGCTACTTTAGACTTCGCTTCCCTGTCCCTAAAGTGAAGTTGTTTATCCCTGTTCTTACCTGTTTTGAGATCCATGGATGTGAAGTGTACAGCGAGAGCTTAGGAGGGTTCTCTGAGTAGCTGGCTTGAGTGCTGGCTGCGGAACGGTTAATGAAGCCATTTCCCTGCCGGAAAAGAGACACTGGCTGCTGGGCTTTCAGTTCCAGCACCCAGAGCTCTATCAGTGGGGAATACAAAGCAGAGCCTCCCGGTTCTACTCATGTTTTTCCCCAGCCCATCCCTATCTGTATCTTCCCATCCTAGCCACAAAGATGGAGGCAAGTGGAAAACAGGTTTGGGGAGCACTTAGGAATTTAAAAAAGGGAAACCCAAACAACAGCTCTGGGGAGTGCTTTTGCTGAATCTAGCTCCAAAGGGAAAGCACATAGGCAGCCTGGCAGAGGACCTGCTGCCTGTGACCCTCCAGCCTGGCAGGGTGGGGGGAATGCTGTCCTTGGTGTAGAGGGGTGATTTTTAAAGTGTTTTACCTGTTTGCACTGTTTTAAAATAGGAGGGGGGGAAAAGAAACCAACCCAGTGAACAAGATGAACATCCAATGTAAACTTCTTTGTGTTTTTATTTTTGACATGCTCTTGGATAATGTCAAACATTTTGTAGTATACACCAGTGAGACTTGATTCTTTGTTGCATAAAACACTATTTTTTGGTGATGTTAATGTCTGAAAAGCCTGTTCCCTACATCCCCACCTTACTGATTGCCCTCTCCACCCTCCAACCCCAGTAAACTTCTCTTCTACAAAGAAAACTCCAGTCAACAAGGCAAGCAGGAGTCTGATAGCCAGAGCATGAAATGGGGCCCTTTGCAAGTAGGCTGTGGGGTTTCTGCCTGGTGTGCTTTGCTCCAGCCAGAAGCTGTCAGGAGAGCCCCCATCCCTCTGCAGTGCCTGCATCAATGGCAGCCTAAACGGGACTCGGGATGGCCAAGTCCCGTCTCTGTTGCCGCTGCTGGCCCTGGAAGACAGCTTCTTGCTGGGGCTGCCAGTGCTGCCCATGGTTGTCCTGTTGAGGCCATGGGCTGCAGCTGGCCCAGGCTTGTGCAGGTGACCAGCTTCCCATGCTGCCTCTCAACTTGTGATAGAGCAG